TGGTGCCGTACAGTAACGCCCCTTTTGTTCTTGTCCAATCAGGTGGTGCCGAATGGTGACGCCCCCTTTTTTGCTTGTCCAGTCAGGTGTGTCCCTTTAACAAAGTCCGTCAAATCAGGTGTGTCCCTTTAACAAAGTCCGTCAAATCAGGTGTGTCCCTTTAACAAAGTCCGTCAAATCAGGTGTTTCGCTTTAGAATCACCTTTCATTGTGACACACCCACTCGTCCGCAGAGACCCCTACTTGCCGTGATGAGGAAGTTCAGCTTAAAGACACGTCCCAGAGGTGTTTCTGGTACCAAAAGGTGTTTCTGGTCCCAAAAGGTGTTTCTGGTCCCAAAAGGTGTTTCTGGTCCCAGAGGTGTTTCTGGTACCAAAAGGTGTTTCTGGTCCCAAAAGGTGTTTCTGGTCCCAAAAGGTGTTTCTGGTTCCAAAAGGTGTTTCTGGTCCCCACCTGTCGTTTTGCTCCTCAGCATGTCTTCATAAAAACACTGCAGGATTTCTCAAACATGATGAATGAGTCAGAGCAAGGCTTTGGACATGATTTTTATGAAAGTATAACATTAGAACATGATATAAAACTCAAAAAAGTTGATTTTACATGATATTGCCCCTTTAAGTTAAATTATTTACTCATGCAGATGTGACCCTCGGCCCGTCCTTGCTTATGAACACCTGAGCCTTTTGAGGATGTTCCCTTTATATCCAGTTATAACTCATCTGTTTCCAATGAACCTGTTCACCTGTGGAGTATTTCAAACAGGTGTTTTTTTTCTTTTGTTGCCCCAGTCTCAGTTTTGTTTTTGTTTTTTTTGTTTTTTTGGAATGTGTTGCAGCATTAAATTCGGACTGAGTAAACATTTACACAACAGCAGTTTAAATGTGTGTGATGTTTCTGGAGATGAACAGTTGAAAAGTTGTGAAACTGTTTCTGAAATCATTCTTTGGCACAATGTTCTTGCATCATGGTTTTATGAAAGCATCTGTTCACCCTCCTGAACTGGTGTGTGTGTGTGTGTGTGTGTGTGTGTGTGTGTGTGTGTGTGTGTGTGTGTGTGTGTGTGTGT